GCAAAGTGGGAAGGTCTGGCCCATTAACCATGCTTCGCTAACTTCTTTCTTCAGGGACCCCCCGGCCACGTTGCAGGCCGGTCAAGCGCTGGGAGACGCCAGGGTGACAGCCCCCGCCTCTAGAGCACGCCCCTCCCCCAGTCTCTCCCAGCCCTGCGCTCGGTGCTCGTTACGCCCACGGACCCTCCAGAGCAACGCACGTCTGGCAAGAGCGCTGCCTTTGGCGACAGCAGGAGCGCAGCACCTAACCTCCGCAGGAAAATCGCACCGCTCCCCTTCCTGCATCCCCCTGCCCCACAGGGGTCCATCACCATGGGCCCCTCGCCTCCCTCACCCCCAGGGCTGGACTGGCTTTGTTCTAAGCTTGCAACAAAAAGCAAACCAGGAGCCAATTCCGCCGCGCTCCGGCCGTTGGCTCCCGGGGGCGCAGGCCTGGTTTTAATCAGCGCAGCCTGCAGCTCCCGCTGCATTTGGCAGCGCTGGGCTCCCTCCGAAAGACGCTGCTCTCTTTCATCCCGGCAGATGTGGGAGCCTGGGGGGACTAGAAATCAGGCCCAGAGTGCCTGGCACCCAAGCAGTTAACGCCTCTGGCCCTGTCCTTATCTAGAGGCCAGTGTTTGCTAGTAGTAAAAGAACCTGCCTCGACCCCATAATCCGGGGAGATCCCACAGACACCAGACAAACGGGTTTGGATAATGGGAGGGCGCGGGGGCGCCAGCAAGCTGAGGCTGAGCTTTAACCAGCTCGGTGGATCTCTGCCGCCAGTAAGGATGCGCGGACTCACCCCACGGCTCAGCCTGGGCCTACAGCGCCTATGCCTCCAGACACGCCGGGGCAAGACATCGCACCCTCTGCCGCTTCATCTTACGCCCGGGAGAAACGAGAACGTCAGCGCTGGGTTCTTCACGCCGCCCACTGCTCCGGGAGAACACCAGCGTCGGCACATGCCCAGAGCAGGGTGATCTAAGCAGAGGTGTGTAACTCACACGTGTGTGTCACACACAGAGCCCGGAGAACTCAGCCGGGCATGCACATGCGTGCTCACGCCCATCAGACCTTCCTGCCCACAATCACACAGAGCCAAGAGCTTGCCCAGGGTTACATACGTGCTGGCCCCTGTAAGGACAGCTAGTCTCTCACACACTCCCCACTCACCCCCGTCTGTCTCTTACACAAAACACAGGGTCAGCCGCAAAC